TACATTTTTAACTTTCATATTAGTAGTTACAGGTATATGTTGCTTAATGTCCAGTGAGTTCTGTAAAATGGAATGCTATGTTATAGGGGTTTTTATGAAATACTGATTGATTTGAAGAGTTTCTGAGAGACATTACAAGTGTTGCATGTACTGAATGCAACCCCTGTTATGTGTTGTAACATCCAAATTACAACTGAATGTGCCCTCTGTTTCAGCACCTGTGTTCATGGATCACAGACACTTCCAGGTACACTGGTTCAGGAACTACTGTGTAGCATGCAGCCAGCTATAGGGAAGTCCAGCTGCTCAGGAGCACCTGCCAAATGAGGGAATGCTGTGGGCCAAGGGGGTCAAGGGCATCTGAGTTAGTGATGGGACTCTTGGCAGATTTTCCATTGGCACCCTGTAAGACTCACTGAGTTGTGGAAGCCTAGCTGTCCAGAGTTGGCACTTTGACCTTGGACCTCCATTACTGCAAACTCCAGGCAACTCAGCAGCTGGGATTGAGTAGGCCTCATACCTGAAAATGAGGATCTGCCATGCTATCACTCAAACACCTGGGTGCCCTGGCCCACGATCTTTATACTTTATGCAGTTGGACTTTGCCCAAATGATGTTAAATGACACATACCTGACAAAGCACAATAATTGGTATGAATACTTTTTTTTCCAGCAGATGAAAAAATTTTATTTTATAGTTGCCTTTAAAACAATAAAGATGCTGTGTTCTTTTTATAAAAAAATATAGATACCATATACTTTCTAGAAAATAATAAAATAGACCCTTAACCAAAAGAGCCCCATTGTATGGTTTCATTTAGGTTGCTTGGGAAAAAACATATCTGAACTGATTCCTAAAACATACCGTTCTACCAGCCTGCATCTTTTGGTTCTTAAAGTGTGGATTACTGTCATTCCCTTCCATGCACCTGCGTTCCTACATATTTGATAATAAACATAGACACTGGTTTATCACTTAATGTTCAGCTGGTTCATTGGCCTTTTCTGCAGGTTCATGAGAATGTTGACCAGGCTGAGCCTTTCTCTGTGGTCGTTCTTCAAGACCTTCCAGGAAAGGAGAAATATCATCATCATCATAGATGTAATCTCCAGCTCTTTACCAACAGCATGAATGGAAACAGTCTTTGTAGTTAGGTCCTGCTCGGCAGGAAGTGTCTGTCTTAAGGCATGCAGACTGTGTCTAATCAGTTCATTCAAATTGCACTCCATAATCTCAGACATATGTCTCTCCAAGTACGTATCAGCTGATTGAGAGCGAGTTCCCATAGACAAAGCTCTGCAGTCAAGATAGTTAGCAGAGGGACAAGTCTGGAAAATATGAGGGCCCATGTCATCATAACCAGCAATGAGCAACCCCACACCGTATGGTTTCCTGCCATACATTGTGTTGATATTTAGGTCTTGCTTCCAACTGGAGATACAAGACGAGACACAGGAAGAGGTCTGTCAAGTACAAATCTTGAATCCAAACATTCCTGGTGCATGAAATTACGTAATGTTCTAGTATCAGCAGTAATCCCTGCAATTGTAATATCTACATGGTTGTCAGCATGGAGGATTTTTTTCTGATGAGCTACAAGCTCTGACTGTGCCCTTTTCAATGCAACCAACACTGCATACATAGGTTTTTCATTTCAGACTAACTGTGGAGGAAGCTTGTTTAACAGCTTCCATAGCATGTTCAATTAGATGAATATTGCTCTGAGGGAGCCAAACAGTAACATCATTGTCTTACTGGTTGCAAACCATGGCTCCAGCTCTGGGCTTTGCTGGGGCCTCCTGCAAAGTTGCAGACCAAGACACCAAGTATGGAGCCGGAAGAGGTACCCGCTCTTGTGGCGGCTGCAGAAGCTGCCAGAGGAGCTGGGCCCGCAGCTTCTCCACAAAATAATTGATGGCATTTGTGGGCAGGATTATCCTCTACACCAGGAATATCACAGCCTTTGGGATTCAACAGAATGGGTACACGTTGTAGAAGATACTACCACATTTTTCAAAACTATAGTGGGTAAAAATGTACCTGATGAAGAGGTATATCAGCAGTTGAATCAGTTGAATTCATGTCATCAAGAAGCTATCATGAAATGCTTAAAAAGTTGAGCAGATGAAATCAAACAGACTCTGTCAGGAGAAACTGTTGGCATTTCCTCTGCACAACTTCAGGATTTTGATTGGCAGTTAAAGCTTGCACTTTCTAGTGACAAGATTGCAACATTACAAATGCCACTTTTAAACCTTCATTTAGATGTAAAAGAAAATGGTGAAGTCATACCATACTCTGTTGAAATGAGTAAAGAAGAGCTGCAGAATCTAATAAATTCCTTGGAAGCAGCTAATAAGGTGGTCCTGCAGTTGAAATAACCGGAAACGAAGAATACCATTGCTATTAAATTTTACTGCTACGACTAATGACAGAGTAAATTCGGTGGTTGCAGACAACCTGCCATGTATTAAGCCAAGCTGGGACAGCAGCAGTGATGAGATTGCAAAGATACTTATCAGCTTCCCTAGAGACCAGGAAATGACATGGTTGACAGAGTGTGCATAAGAAATGCAGTAAATGCTGACCTGGTTGTGGGACTCTGCACTGGACAGATCAAGACGGGTGCACCATGCTGATCTGAGAGCTTGGCCAAGTACAACCAGATCCTCAGAATTGAAGAGCTGGGCAACAAAGCTAAGTTTGCCAGACAAAAGTTCAGAAACCCCTTCGCCAACTAAGCTCTGGGCAGGCAAGACTCCAGTCAGCTAATTAGACCTCTGCTCCTGATGCAGATGGCAGCCTCAGACGTCAGACCAGTACGGCAGGGCCTCTTCCTTCTCCCCAACTTGCAAAACTTGGAAACAGGGAAATGTGAAAGGACAGGAAAATGGACAAGTTTGCTTCAGTGATAATGAATGACCTGTATGCATCCCCGTGGCTCAGTCGGAGAAACTTAATCTTGAAGAAGAAAAGCAAATCACAGAAGCATACAGGCTACAATTCTATTTCTATCAAATTTAAAACCTTAGAACAAAACTGGTTTAGGCAAACATACGTTGGTAGTTCTATTCCTGAAACAACTAGGGAAACATACCAATACAAACCAATTTTCAATTTCAGTGAAAAATAATTAAAAAATAAAATCCACCCCAAAATCTCTCCCAATCTAAATACATTCCTAGTTGAAAAGATTCCCTTGAGGAACAGAGTTAGCTTAAAACACCTTGTCCCTTGAGAAGCCCTGGGGGCACTGGCAGCTGCCCTTGTGAGGCAGGCAGCCCTGGCTGTCTGGAGTCCTAAAGTGGGGTCTTTCCCTCTGGGCTAAGGAGCTGAAAGGGAGACTCTGAAAAGCCAGGAGGCAGAATGACTCCACAGAGGAGCACCCTCTGTGGAAAATTTGTTCTATTAACATTTTAAGGAAAATTTGTGAGGTGCCTGAGGGCCTGATCAATTGTAAACATTAAAACATGGAGAGAAAGAAAGAAGAAAACATCAAATAAATGTATACCTATTAGATATTTGTCTTGCACACACACAAAAATGCAGTAAAGATGAGAAAGCTGTCGTAGCAGTGTATATTTTCATAGTGACTGTTTTGCCTCATTTAATATTTGAAAAATCTTTATGGATGTATAGTTTAGTATTGAAAGCTAAAAATAGATTCTAATGTAATGTAAACATACAAAGCACACAAATATACTTGAATATTGCTTAATGAAGTATGTAAATAGCAAGGACGTGTATTATGTAATTATTTGGTATTTTAAAGAATAATTTTTTAAAAATGTTCAAGCTGCATATATAACTCAGGAGATTACATATTTTTGTCATATTTCAAATGAAAGAATCAAATTTCTTTTAGATAGAAATTCTTCAGACATGAATAGAAAAAAGTCTCCAAGTTTGTGTAATAATTCTATGTGTATGAATTCTAGGAACTAAAATCTTTCACAAGAAAAAAATGCAAATAACAGTTACTTCTCCATTTCTGTGTCTGATCAGGAGCGTTATGTTCTGGTAAAATGAATAGATGTTACTGTATTATGTATATATTAGTATGAAATATCAGATAAAAACAACAAGGTTCATTTTTGCTATAAATGCTAATCATGAATTTAACACTTGGGTATTAACTTCATTGGCAAGCAAACCATTTTAACTTCAGTTAATTTTACAGAAATTATTCTGAACAAATAAAGAATGCCATACTTTGTTTTTGCAAAAAAAAAAAAGTTGCAGACCAAGTAGTGCAAAACTACTACTCGACCGACATGAATACTTCTATTCATTCCATATTTATCTATCATTATAAGATAATAAATGGCATTCAGGTTTATTCATCAGTGACTTCAGTGTTTGATAGTAGATTGAACTAACTTGTCAAATCATGGACAACTGACAAATGGAGTTTGTTAACCTACAACACTAAAAGCCAGTCCCGATTCATTTTGAGGTAGTCATCTTGCCACACTCTTTGGTATGGTTTATTAGATAGCATCCCTGTTGTTAACTGTCTTCCAGTCTCTTCTGACTCATAGCAGCCTGACCCTGGTTTCCAAGAAGTGACTGATGAGTTTGAACCACCAACCTTGCAGTTCAAACTGACCTTGCAGTCCAGAGCATTCTCCTGCAACACCACACCAGGATTCCCAAGACAACTTTTATTATTTTTTGTTTTCCAGGTTAGTTATCTTCCCCCTTTTTTTTCTCTCTTTGAGCAAAACCCCCATTTCCAGAACTGACGTGTTTTCCAGCCAAAGCAAAGAGAAGGTTTGTGGATGTTGAATATGCAAGGATCTAAAGAAAAAGCGAGTGGAAGCAATAGATAACCAGTGGGACAAAATAGCCTTGGCAGTAGGAAGACTTTGGATATCTTAGAAGAGAAACTCTGAGGAAAGTGAAGGAGATAAAATTACCTTCTCTTTTAGACTTTGGCTATCTTGGAAGAGGAACTCTAAGGGAAGAAAAGGTGATAAAAGTACCTTCTCTTTTAGGGATGTTAAATTCAGGTGGATGTGAGTGTCTCTTGAGGTCAGTTTTTCTGCATTATTCATTTTCACTCATTTTCAACATTTGCCCATTTTCATTCTCCAACTAGTCTGAATGCAAATGATCTCTGTTCTTGCTTAGCCTACTGCTGCCTGTTGTTTCCTCTTCTCCATTGTCTGTGGGCCCCTTGCTTTCTGGGATCTGTAACTGCCCTTTTCTGTGAAGCTTCCTCACTAATGCAGCCAGATCTAAATCTCTTCTACTACTTGCAACTCTTAATGGCTTGACCTGTTTGATTTTACTCACCATTGCTCACAGGTTATTACTGAGACCTGTCAGAGTTAGCTCCTCACAGCTTCAGAGCCTTCTGCTGTGCTATGCACAGGAGACATTTACTCTGATGTTTTCTTTCAGGTTGGAAGAACAGACCTGCTCCAGAGCAAGATGTCTCTGAAATTGATTCTTCATGCATAGTAGCAGAAAGATTTCAAGAGAATGAACATCAGGATTCTGCATTTGTAGAAAAATATGCATGGGAGGGCATTAAGGAATATCCTTTGAGACAGTTTCCTGGACCATGCCTTTTCCAAGAAGGAGGTTTTGGGGGAATAACCTTCATTCACAAAGAAGCAACTCCTGAGATGATTAGTCAAGAATATAACTTTGAAAAAAGCTTTCTTTTGACTTCAAGCCTTGTGACACATCTCAGAGTTTCACCGAAGAGAGCCTACATCAGTGGGAGACAACTAGCATACACACCAATGAGATTTCAGACTGAAGTATATGCCCAGCCCTGTCCACCCTGGAAAAATCTTGGACGTGTGATGAATGTAGAAAGTCCTTTAGTCAGAGCTCATCCCTTACCCAGCACATGAGAACTCACCCTGGAGAGAAACCCTTCACATGTGCAGAATGTGGGAAAGCCTTTAGGTGTGACTCATTCCTTGTTCAACATCAACAGATTCACATTGGAGTGAAACCGTATAGATGTGAACATTGTGGGAGAATATTTCGATGTCGATCATTTCTTACTCAGCATCAGCAAATTCATAGTAGAGAGAAATCTTCTAAATATAGTGAATGTGGGGATTACTTCTGCAATCGTTCACAACTCACTGAATATCAGAGGATTCATAACTGGGGAGAAACCTTATAAATGCAACATGTGAAAAGGCATTTAATCAGAACACACGCCTCATTCATCATCAGAGAATTCACACTGGTGATAAACCTTATTTATGCAATGAATGTGGCTCTTCTTCCCATCAGCACTCAAATCTTACCCAACATCAGATTATTCACACTGGAGAAAAGCCTCATAAATGTAATGAATGTGGGAAAACCTTCCAATCAAAGGCAAATTTCTCTCAACATCAGAGAACTCATACTGGAGAGAAGCCCTATAAATGGAAAGAATGTGGAAAAGCCTTTTGTCAAAGCCCATCCCTTATTAAACACCAGCGAATTCATACTGGTGAAAAACCTTATAAATGTAAAGAATGTGGCAAAGCCTTTACTCAGAGCACTCCACTCATTAAGCATCAGAGAATTCATACTGGGGAGAGACCCTACAAATGCAGTGAATGTGGTAAGGCCTTCATTCAGAGCATCTGTGTTACTCGGCATCAGAGAAGTCACACTGGAGAAAAAAACCTATAAATGTGGGAAGGGCTTTAATCAGAATACCTGCCTCACTCACCATATGAGAATTCACACTGGAGAGAAACCCTATAAATGTAAGGAATGTGGGAAAGCCTTTGCTCATAGCTCATCTCTCACAGAACACATACTGGTGAGAAGTCCTATAAATGTAGTGAATGTGAGAAAACCTTCCGCCAGTACGCACATCTTAGTGAACATTACAGAATTCACACTGGTAAGAAGCCTTATGAATGCATTGAATGTGGAAAATTCTTCAGACATAGTTCAGTCCTTTTCAGACATCAAACACTCCACAGTGGTGAATAATCTTTGTTTTTTAGGTATGACAGTTTCTCTCAAGAGTGACCAGGAGTCTGGCTGTGAGAAAGATGGGCAGATAGAGTTCCTGAAGGGAAGGAGAAAGGAATCTCTGCTGCTGTACTGGGAGAAGAGTATTTCCAGAAATAGAAATGGGAGGTATGGAGAATGGAGAGCCAAATCTTGGTGAGCATCTGGGAATACAGGTAGATAGGAAGTTTCTGTTTTTCATATAAAACCCTGCTAGTCGTCACTCCTTGCCTATGTACTTTGAGTTAGTATTTGTTAAACTAGCCCTTGAATATTTTCTTTACAAAACCTTCCCACCTTTGATACTCCTGTTCATTGGCCTATTGGTTGAGGTGGTTTTCCAAACTCTGCTTGTCAGTCTGAAAGAGCTAACTGTTCTGAGGCAGTGCTAAGCAACCTCCAGATGTTTGAGGTAGCTCTCATCATGCTGCTATGGAGCAGCTACCAGACAGGTAGAATACAGTGGGAAGTGATCTCATGAATGGGAAACAGGAACAAATGAAAAGCTGAATCCATATTCATTAGTTCACAAAGGAAACACCTAGCAAGAATTGGGCTGATTTTTGCAGCTATTCAATTGAAGAATACTTAGCAAGGTAAGGAAGCTCTTTCCTAGTTTTCTCGAACTTTGGGAAAATTTGGAATCCAGAAGAAAATAGAAGATGAAGAGAGACTTAAGTGATGCCGTATTGTGGGAAGGAGACAGATCTGCTCAAAGGGACAGGGAGAAGGCAGCCTAACTTCTTCTGTACCAGAGAGATAGTAGCTTACCAGGAGAGACGGGTGTGATAAGCCTTGCTGGTAAAGCCTCCCGATGAACCCAGTGTGTGACTGAGCAAAGTACATACATATTTCTGTCCCAGACGAAGGTTTACGCCTTTTCCTGTAGGATTGAATGAGCCGTTGGTTTTCAGGCAGGACAAAGAGCCCACTAGGAGCTAAAGGTCCAAAGTGCAACTCAATTTGTTGTCCACTAGGGAAGAGTGGTCCTGGTGTAATATTGTAAAATAAGTACGGAACTTCTAACCACAAGGTCGGTGGCTGAAATCCATCAGCCATTTCTTGGGAAACTTATACAGGGTTGCAATAAGTCAGAACTGACTTAGTGATTCTTAACAACAACAGCAGGGCAGCGAAGACACCAGTGAACAAGAAGCCCCCTTTTGCTGGGAGGACTGGGTTTATAACTAGTTTTCCAGTGGCTAGAATCGTAACTATATGTCAGGTGTTCTGTTACTGGAACTATCACACTTCAGTATTCACATTCAGAAACATTACTTGAAGGTTAGAAGTGTTTAGGGAAACAGTTATGAAATGATTTGCAAAGAATTAGAATTACCTGCTCTTTAAATCCCAGAAAATCAAGATAGTATAGTTTGCCACTGATTGTGATGCTATTTTATTCTTTTGAGAGAAAGGGCCTGGGTTTCCTTTATTTTCCTAAACTCATGTTCTTTACTTCTAATCAGAGATTGAGCTCTGGAAGATTAAGTGAGGATAGCTTTTTTGTTTGTTTGTTTAATTTAAGGTTTTTATTGTGGATTGAGTGAAAGTTTACAGGGCACATCATCAGTTTCACATTCAACAATTCATATAACTTGTTTCATTACATTGAT